CTACCAAGGTCATCTTCATCCAGCAGCTCTCGAATTGAAACAACGTTTTCGCACGTTTCTCCGTTGCAGTTGTGGCATAAGACGGAACATTTCAGTCCGGATTTGCGACAACCACACATTTTTCCGCACGTCGTTTTGCATTTACACGATATTGTCTTCAGCAAAAATTCTGGTGCTGGATCGGCCATTGTAGCGATAGGTTCGAGTCCGCGATTAGTTTTTCTCCACCCCCATTCCGTAGCGTTGACTTCATACTCCATCCACATTTGCACCTGCAGGTACGTCCTGTAGATATGTTGTTCTGCTGCTGCCGAAGTAGGTGGAAGTGTGGCAAAATTGAATTTGTTCCTCGTAACTGATTTTGTGAAGTTCTTAAATCTCAGGTCGTCCAGTGTTTTTACATTTTCATCGCCTCCAAACAATGCGATTAGGAAACATTCTCCAGCTTGAGCCAAACAATGTTTGTGAATGTTTGCCTCGCGGAACAAGCTCAGAGCTTTGTTCAAATTGTTGTTTTTCTTGAGAGTCTCGATGAATTTCAATTTTCCTACGTTGAATATTGAAGACGTTGTATCGCATCCGCTGCAGGCATGTAAGAACAAAATATGTTTTGCTACAGACTCTTCATACTTAAAACTTGCCGGTGAATATAATTGTTCCGGAGTCCGTTCTCTGCCCGGTTTCTTGAAGAAAACGTTATTCAAATGATACCCTAAGGCAGTTAGTATCACGAGGAGATCGATGTCCTCGCCGATGATCGTAACTTCGTCGTGATTTGAGGCTTCTTGAATTGCCGTTCCTACGATGAAAGAATCGGCGTCTGCCGGTGCTTGCTGAATAACGACACCAGAATCCTGCAAAGCTTTTTTTAAAATGTCAATAAGCCTTGCCTTGTTCTTGTCGTTGCCCAAAAATTTTTCCTGTGTCGTAGGGGGAAATGCGGTCGCGTTGACAATTACTTCAGGCGAACGGTGCTTGGCTGCGCGTCTTCTCCGTTCCCAACCCTTCAAAAAGACTGTTTGTAAATCTTCAGGGTAACCATCGAATACAAAAGCGTTGTAAAACGTGGACTTCGTACCTTTCCTCATTCCTTCTTCGTTAAACAACGAAAGAGGGTACGGTGCAAGCTCATACCCAAAACAATCCTTCAGGTCTTCGTTTGTTTGTTTAGAAATGCTGATTCGTTGAAAAAGCAGGAGGGGGTTTATGGGCACAGACGTTTTGTCGATTGTTATGCTGCTGCCAACTGCTGATAAGGGTGAAACTTTATCTTTTCGTTTGAATTTCACCGAATCGTAATTTGTACCGACCAAATTGTTGAGCAATTTTATACCAATTTCTGAAGCGAGATGGCAATTGATGTTTTCAGTGCCGATTATACCCGAACTAATCGACATAATTTGAGAATCCGTAGGGAAAGGATTGTGATCATCGAACCAGTGGTCAATTTTTTTCATATCTGAATTGTCTCTTCTCACACGACTCGGTTTAAAGTCAACGTGCTGCTCAGTTGTTCCGCCATGAACATCGCAGAAATCTTCAATTTGTTGGCAAATATTTTGCATATGTACCGCACTCATGGTCCACCTTACTGCCACGCTCTCGTCAGCTCCCCGCTTGAACATTCCACCATGAATTTTTGATTCCCGATTCAGCGTTTGCTCTATTGTTTGATCGGACATGATGCCTGACCAAAATTTGTTGCTGCGCCTTATTGTGAAGTAGCCTTGTGTTGTGAATTTTTCGAACTCATCCGCCGGCATTTTGCCCGGTAAATTTTCCATATCTTGGAGGTATAGGTGAGCGCTCTTCGCGTACAGAAAGTGTCCGCTTGCGTAAAAGAAAGGAAGCATCCCTCGAATTGCATTGAGATGAAGATCCCAGTCACCGGAACGTTCTGCTTCGATGAAATGTTTTACCAAGGTGACCATTCTAAAGTACTGCACCCACAGTTTAGCGGTGGGCCCACTCTGCTCGGTTCGGTTCACCGCCGCTTCAAATTTTCGGACAACTTCTTTTACAGCATCGTTTTCTCCCGCTGTGAGGACAACAGTCCGATCTGAGGTTAACAAAAGTCGCTCAACCTCTTCGCGTTCGATATCTTGAAAGTCAATCGTCTCCATGATCCGCTTCGCTAGGGACGCATGAACGAGGAAATGAGCACGAACTGCTCTCGAGTAAGCATGTCCAGAGAGAATCTTATCAACGCTATTTTCAGCGTAAATGATTTTTAAAAGATCTTCGAGTCCGCTACCCCTCATTATATAGCCGATGGCTCCCAGAAATGAAAGTAGAATGTGGAATCCCCCGAGGCGAACGATGATGGAACTCAATTCAGACGAAGGATCGGCGTTGGAAACAATGTCGTGAGCTTTCCAAAACAGCGGCTGGTCGAATGTAATGATACATGACTTGCACCTGGTAGCCTTGCTCCTGTCGAGAGCCGAGCACAGCGTCGTGTAAATCGTGTCGTAATCGGAAGGAGAACCGTTGATGAATGAGATAAACATGACTTTTGACCTCACGAAGCTCTTGTTGACAGTAACTTCTTCCATAAAACCATTCCACCCCGGTATGCCAGCTACGCAGGCCCATTTCCCGTACAACCACATGAAATCGCCAATGGTTGGAAGACATGTTTTAGAAATAGTGCCCGCGGTCGCAATTTTCGCAACTTGAACTTTTCGGAAACCAGCCAATTTCTCTTTTCCGTAGTATCGCATTTCTTCATGCCCAATTTGTGCAATAGCCGCAGCGGATTTTCTGACTGAGCTTCGAGTCATTTCTGTATCAGGTTCAATAGCGTCGAATGGCGTTACGCATTGTATTCCTCCCATACAATGAAACGTGTCATGCCCGTCCAGCGTATTAATGTTGAAATCGGCATTGTCGTAAACAAACTGTATAAAATCGGTGTCTTTTACTTGGCGCTGTGGTCGCGTGATGGAAGTAGCTTCGTACGATGATACGTTCTCATACGACGAGGAAAATCCCAGCGATGAAAGAACGTCAATCAAAAGTCTGGAGCCAAATTTCTTGTACAAGAAAGCGCCAACGCCGATTTGTAAAGAAGAAATGAAAGACCGCGGACGAACTGCCGATATAATAGCATGCGCGATAGAAGTACACTTCCTTTTCCAAGATTCCAGCGATCCTTTTTTGGTTTTACAAATAATTTCGGAGAGTAGCACGTTCAGAGAAGCGGGAATGGAGTCGTCCACGTTGTCCATGAAATTATCGGAGGGGGGATATGATTTTGTATCGTAGAGTTTTGAGCGTATGTCCTCGACAATAATGGCAGCTGCTTCGCGAATCACTCTCAACCTTTCTTCCTCCGGATCGGAATTCTTTGCGTCGTACCAGGCTTTCGAAAGTATTTTGTAACCAGTATTACGGAAACAAATTATACAAGGCGTTCCTTGTTTCTCAAAGATCAGAATTTCATGACCGTACTCTTCCTGTAAGCGCTGCTTTATAGTTGTCGGATACGGCACGAAATCTCCTTTGATACACTCCTGTAGTTCTTTGAATGTAAACTGACATTCGTCGCTATTCTCTTAGATGTAATCATAAATGTCCGCCATAGCACTATTTACTTCGTTAGAGACTGGTCTTCCGGCTCGATCTTTCGAACACCCGCGATTTACTTTACGGACACAAGAGGCGTGATATCGCGCGCCAACAGCTACAAAGTCACTAACATTTTGAATGCGCGCAACTATTTCACTTGCAAAGTCGTCGGTGCGTGAATTACACCAATTCAAAATCGTATTCCTGATCGAATTTCGCGTAACAGTGCGAACCGGTTTTCGCTTTCTCACATGCAACCTCATTTCTTCTGACAAACTCTGTATTCTTTCCGCACAAATGAAGCAATGGCTTTTAAAATCAAACGTCGGTGGTGCTTGCGATTCCACTGCTGAGGACGTAGACGGTGCAACAGAGTCACGGCGGCGTCGAGGTGCTCCCACACATCTTGTATCAATATAACGCAAACGACACGCCACGTGTAGGGTAACGCTATCCACAGATTCGAGCATTTGCTGGTGTTCATTATCACCTCTAACAATGCTTGCCGATAAAAGAGTCTTAATGCCACGTTCTTTCACAGTCACCTCGTTCTCTTCACTTGTAGATTCTCCGCACACAAAACAGTTCACCATGTTGATAGATTGCGTCCACTCACTACCGAGCGTATTCACAAACTAAAACTCACGCGCTATATGGAGCAGCTGCCTCGTTCTTTTGGGGTTTACTGTATACCTGGAATTAAAAAGAAACGTGATAATACAATGATAAGAGTTTACCCCCACTCTTCTCAGGGATAAATACAAAAAAATCGAGCGTACAAAAAAAACAGAATTGTAGGAAATTTAATTTTAAACAACTTTGTTTATAACAATTTTTCTCGTAAAATTGAAAATAAACGAGTTATTCTATAACCAAAAATTCACCCCCTCTTTTCGGGTATAAATCGAAAAAAATCGATCGTACAAAAAAAAGCAGAATTGTAGGAAATTTAATTTTAAATAACTTTTGTAAAAACTATTTTCCGTGTAAAATTGAAAATAAATGAGTTATTCAAGATACAAAAAATAACCCTTTAAATCAAGCTGGCGGAGGTAACGACAACTTTGGAATCCCAACTTTTTGAATTTAGACTACAACAGACCCCCTCCAACGAATTCCGAAGGAAAATTGCTGCTTCGAATTTTTCAGAATCTCAAGCCTGTTCTTCACCTAATCCGATTGGGCTACGTAGGATTTTTCCTAAAAAGTTAAAATCTCGAAAGGGCGGAGCCGACAAGTAATTACAAATGGCAGTAAACTGGATACTGGGTGATAAATTATTCCCCACTCATGCAATGTAAACAAGATGAATTTTCACAAATAAAACGGTTTATTATAAAAAACAATTATAAGTATAAACGACAAAATAAAAATGCATTCCATTCAACAAAAACAAAATCAAAAATATTCAAAAATAAAACGATTAAATATAAATTACAAAATAAATATTCCTTCAACAAAAATAAAAACATTAATAAAATCCAAGGACATAAAAAAAATTAAAATGTGACTTGTTCAGTATTAGTTTCGTTTTCTTTAGTTTTTGTATGAGCTTTAACTAAAGAAGCGGGAGGATCAAACTCATAACATTTCTTTTTATCTAAAAAACTTTTTGTGTGCAAAAGAGCCTCACATGTCGTTGTTTTCAGTTTATTCCTATTTTTTGTTTTAATTAAATTTAACTCGGAAAAAATCCTCTCTGCTCTTGCAGGAGAGTGTGGTAAACAGCATACTCCCTTCAAAAAATTTGTTAAATTAGGAAACATAAATTTATCCAAGGTATCTTTCATCTCAAATACTACCTTCCAAAACTCATAAAATTTAAGATTATTGGCTTTATCTTTTAAATCCGCAATATCCGATAACAATCTCCATTCAGAATTCAGTTTTTCTAAATTGTCTTGTAGTCTAGGAAATCGTACAGCAAGTGGAACTAATGATGGACAATTTCCAGAAACAGCAGTTGTTGGATTAAAATTATTTAAAAATATCAATACTGGATCACTAAAGTCAAATCGACTTTTAACTTGTCTTGCAAGCTCAATATAAAAGTCTAAACATTTTACCCTAAAATTCCTAATATCATTTGTTGATAAAGATGTATTTAAAATTATTTGTTCGCAATTTGCCCCTAAGTAAAGCTCCTCAATTGGTTTATAATTAGAGGGTACAAACATAATGTCGTTGAGATTATTCTCATGTGTTTTAAAATATGAAGCCTTCATAAAGTTTTTTAAAATATTTTTGAAAAGGGAAGCTGTATGTTGATGTAACATGTGAATTTGAGGGGCTTCACTTTGAAATAATATATTTATTTTATTTACTATGTCAAGGATATATGATAAAAAGTTTAAATATAATTTGAAAGTATCTTTTTTAATGCTTCCAATATCGCATCTGGGCGGATAGAATCTTTTACATTATTCTTATCATAAGTTTCATTAGTAAAAAACAGTAAAAGAGGCTGCCATTGCTCCAAGAGTCTGTTTACAACGACTTGTAAGGACAACCACCTTGTCTGACTCAGTTTTAATAATTTGTGAGGTTTTAAATAACAAAATATTTGATATTGTTTAAGGTCAGTAAACCTTTTTGAACTGCGACCAAAATATGAAATAATATCTCTTGCCAAAGACTCACTCTACTTCTATTGGTAACTTTGCACACGCAGCAGAAGAACAGAGTGCCAAAGTATGGCATACACATCCCAAAATAAATATATCAGGTAACAAATCTCTAAATTTTTTGGCAACACCAGATTTATTACCTTGTATGACAGATGCATTATCTGCTGCAAAGCCAATCATTTTTTGTATAGGGATATTATTTCTTGAAAGAAACTTACAAATTGTCTCAAACAATGCTTGAGCAGTTAATTCCTCAAGTTCAATAAGGCCCAGAAACTTATCTTTAACTTGAAAATCTTTATAAAAATGAGCAACAATTGCCAAATACTTTGTTGTACTTACATCTGTTGTCTCATCGATTATAAGCGAGTACCAGTTATCACTCATGTATTCAGTCATACATTTTAAACTGTCAGGTTCAATAACATTTTTACATATAAAAGTTCCCTTATCACTACCACACCGAAATTGCTTTGCAATTTCTGAGTCACTACAAATTGATTTTATAAGTTGTGGAAGGTGATCTAGTGTCGTAAAAGGAAGATTATGTTCCGCAACAAACATAACCATCTTTATTTCAGCCTTTTTAACTGAAGTTTTAAGGCGCTCCTCCTGTTTGTTATTCGTCTTTAGGAAATTCGTAACTTGGGGTGTACTGCTTACAATCTTCATCTTCTTCTTGTGTCGGTCACTGTCACCGTGTCTTTTTATATGGGTGATACCTCCTTTAATATTAACGTCACAAATTTTGCAAGTTGCACCATTACCCTTCACTTCCAACCATTCCATATTTCCTTTAATTTTCCACTCCTTTTTAAATGCTTGAACATGACCTCTTCCTTCTTTTTTTCATCATTCTACCCTCATTGCTGTCACTGTGAGACTCATCTGACTCATGAACACTTATTTCATTTTCATTTTCACTAAAAGAATCATTTGTATCCAGACCTGGATATTTAGAGGGAGTTATTGTAGATGATGTTGAAAAAACAGAAGATGTTGAGGCAACATCAGGCGAAGTTGAGGGAACCGAAGCTTTAGGAATTAGAAACCTAAAATTAAATTGTTTATTAAATATTTTGAGGTTACTAACGTATTTATATACTTACTTATCCATTTTATTAAAACACTATTATATAAGATGATGAACATTAACATCAACACCATAGAACGCAATATCGTATGTGTCCTTAGACCATGTAAAGTGTGTGTCGTTGTCGGATTGGAATGCTAAAATGGTATAGTACATGTAAATTACATGTAATTTTCTCGGTACGGTACATAATACACAAGCCCTCTAGCGACAACTGCCGTAAGCGTTCATACTAATTTACAGTAATCATATTAACAAACTTCCTAAAATCGATACGTCTATTTATCCCATATGTAGATGGCGCAACAGAAAAATGTAATAAATTTGTCAATATTTCGAATTGTAGTAACGACGTAACGAACTGGAGTCAATTGTAATAGATCTATTACAATAGGCAATCGGAACCCTGCTGAACTGATGAGCTGAACTGAGCACGCTACGACGAAACGCGCGGCGTGCAACCGGTAGGTGGAGCGTAAGGAGGCTCAGCGTCAAACAACTCCAAAAATATGCAATCTCCGGATCCGGTATATTTGTACCGGATCCGGTAAGTGTAAATTAATGCCGGATCCACCGGATTACCGGATCCGGTTTTCCGGATTGCAATCCCTATAGATATGGCTTTTGTAAATGCCTATATTATTTATTTAGACATTAGAAAGAAAAAGTATCTCCTTAAATTCCGTCGATCTGTTGTCTTGAGGCTAATAACACATAAACGTTGTTCCACTAGTAAACGACCTTCCAACGAAGTAACCAATACCAATTCCCTAAAGAAGAGACGTGGCCACGGCTATTCTATAACATCCGATGTTAGACTTTCAAATAGGGGTGCAACTGTACAACTTTTTTTACTACAAACTTCACATCTACCTCGTTTGTCATTAAAAAGTTCAGACCACTCTCAAAATGTTCTGTTTGTAAAGTCTCACTGTGTTGTAATACTATCAAAATTGTTTCCTAGAATTTCAACAAGTACCTCAATAGTATGATGTTTGTATATTAATCTAAACTATGCTTTTTATTCTTCAATAAATAACTAATAGTCCGGGAGGTAATGACAGATTTCAATAAACCATTTTCGCAAGCTTTATTTTTTGAATATGAGTTATTTAAATAGCATCTAACAGTAAAATCATCGTCTTCGATTCCAGTTGTACGACAGGGGGTTGCGGGAGGGTTGCAATTCCGGTAAAAAAATTATAAAAAAAATTCATTTTCGCATGGATGAAACTTGGTGTACATGTTGATATGAACATAAAAATATTAGAAAATATCGTCTTCCACCTGAATTGCACGACAAACTACATCTTCCACCCATATAAATAGGCGTAAAAAAATAATAAAAAAAAATATAGTCGCAAAGATGAAACCAAGTGTGATGCTTATTTTTATAGTAATAAAAATAAAAATAATAGTCTTCCACCAATAAAACACAACAAAGGTCGTCTTCCAAGCTGATAAAGGTGTTCTCGGCATGCGGCGTTCTAACAGCTGAAACGTAGTATCTTTACGTGTTCGAGAAATGATCATTGGTGTAAAATTTTAGAAGGCATATTACGAAGTTGATATTTATGTTATAAAATATTATTCATTCAATTACTGTAACTGCACATTTTACCGTGAAAATTCGAAATTTTAGTAAATATATGAAGTACGATAAAATTCTGTTGTAGATTTAAAAGTATGCAATACATTAATTATTTGGAATATAATTTAGAGATAATTTCGAATGGAGTATTTATAATTGCTTTAGTTAAAGTAAGTAAATTTAGAAGCACAAAATATATGTATTTTATTGGAATTTTTATAAAGCTTATTAATTTTTTTTAACAAATTTCTGATTCACTTTGTACACTTATAAACTTTTATTATTTTACAATAGCCACATTATTCGAAATCGCAAGAACTGTTGGAATCATTGGTTTCATCGATAATAATACCGAAATCCTCATTATCGAAAATATAGTTTTCATCGTCATCCTCTTCATCCGATTGATCATATTCCTGTTGACTGTTCGTTTCTTGATCTGCAAATATAAAATTACAATTTATAAATCATGACATAATTATTTTTATTTATTGTTTTTTACCTTGATTTTCTTCGGAATTTATTGATTTATCGTCAATCGAGTTTGGCAGTTGATCTCCATCGAACCATTGAAATATCAGCTTGTTCCCAAAATCCTGCCAACCATAGTCGGTGGGAGAAAATTCTGTTGGTTGTGGGAGATAAGCATGACTCCAAAGATGTGAAATATATGATGTTCTTTTTAAATGCTTATGCAGCTCTGCTTTACATGGTGGTAGTATTGCTCCGTCGACCTTTTTTGCATTTGTCTTAAATATTTCATCACCCTCATTGATTTTATAATTTTTCATAAATAGAGCCACTCGAGCCTCGTTGACGTTTATTATTTTTTTAAACCGTACATTCGGCAAACAAATTCCTCCAGTAATGCATGGACTTCAGGTATATCGCCGGTACTCAATTCGCTGAGTCTTTCAAAGGCATTCATGTATTTTTCAGATTTTTTTAAAATATTGAATGGACGATTTTTTCACCAACTCTTGAAGTATAAATCTTCCTAGGTAAACTTAAATCTCATAAATTTCTTAGATGACTCGAACTAAACCTCTTGATATACTGGAAATCAACTTCTGTAGCTGGAACTAAACTTCTAAGTTTCAATACTTCTAAACATGCTCTTTCGATATAACTTCTACAAAACTTCTACAGAACCATCTAGATACAGCCAGGCTTTTTAAAATCAGACGGTCATTTAAAATATTAAAGACAATTAGTACATCGGATGTCCAAGATAAAAGATAATTAAAAATTCAATAAATCAACTTGCTCGATGACAGATATAAATCGAAATGAATTATCAACTGTTGACACAAGGCATAAACGACAAATGACATTAGGGTAGAGATGTTTGCGTCAAAATAACGAAAACGGTTTCAACCGTTACAATGTTTGGGTCTAAATAACGAAAACGGTTCTAACCGTTACACCCCACTACCTCCGGGTAAAAAAAAAATTACATTTTAATTTGAATTTTTTTTAATTTTTCTTTACTATTTCCATATTCTCTCCTTTTGTTGCAACTAGCTAGAATGATACAAGATGTGAAACGATCAATGGATTACTTTTCAAGAGTGTTGCCCGTCGATATCCACAGTAATCAAAGGTCACTGCAAGAAAAGGTCCTTCAAAAATCATTCCACTCCAAATACCACTGCTAAACCAATTACCGTAGAAGAAAATTAAAAATTGCAAAAAAAAACAAATAAACAATGAATATACACCATCATACAATGAATAACACAAGATATAGCTGTAAAAAAAAATGTTAATAAAAAAGAAATAAGAAAATATATACTTCCTATTAGATTAGTATATAGAGATAAGAAAATTAGTAAATAAGCATTATATAATATATGCATGTTTGTTCTTATACGAACTTAAACCACATAAAAATTGCAATCGTGCATCGGTAAGATAAAGTTCAAATTAAAGTTAAATCATTAAACGGAAAAAATTGTACTGATATAAACCATACATATGTAAGATAAAGGTAAGGCAGAGAATAGTAAATACACAGATTACTAAGTATTCCTGTGTAACAAAAAAGAGAAAAACAAACTAAAAATTTTTTATACGCAAATAAAGGGACTTTAAACACATTTTGATATTTAGTAAAGCTTCCAAAATAGGAAAGGGTTGATAAATTTACAAACTAAGACTTAAGTAATACTAAATTTTTTAGAAAATAATTGAAATTTTTACTGTAGCCCTTAAAGATTAAAGATTTACAACTTAAACCAGGAAGATTTACTACTTTAGCTTTTAAGTGCTTGTTCAAGAAAATTTTGATTAAAATGAAAAAATTTATTTTAACTCTAAATCTGCACTATTATACCATACAAAAGTCACAATCAGGGAAAGATAAGATAAAGGTAAATGAAGGTAAATAAAGGTAGGTAAGGTAATGTAAGGTAAACTAGAAAGAATGATCATTGAACTATATTTGCATATATCATAACTAAGTAACGGTGAACCATTTCAAATCAAAGGTAAATATCTTGATATTCAAAAAAACATAGTACATTATGTACTAAAGGTAAAAATAATATTATTAAACGATAAATAACATATTCACTTAACTAGTGAATAAAGATATATAATAATATTATAGGAGATAAATTATGAAAATCAAGATAAATAATGTACACACATCAGTGAGTACATCAGGCAAGGGATACGAAACATCTTCGTAATGCTGTCACTTTTCTCAGTGTAAATCAGCAAAGGTATATACAAAGTAGTAAAGTTAGGTAAAAAAATATAGCAATGCAAGTTCTCTGTTAACCTAAAGTTAACGCAAATATGAAATTTTGCAATACTCAACTAAATTATATTCAATATAAAATGAAAACAAAGGTATCAAACGATATTGCTAAAAGCATAAATTCTTAAATTATAATTGAAAAAAGAATAAAGATATACAAACTTTTACTACTTGTATTAAAATATAATTTAAATTGGTTCGAAATAAATTAGTTATGCAATTGTAAGGTACTTAACTATATAAAGAAAAGAACATGAAATGCTAGATAATATAGTTCAAAGTCAACTTAGGTATTTTAATACTGAATTTAAGGAAAAGGTAAACAAATTAAAATATTACTCAAGTTCAATAACTATACAGGTGTACTACCAATCAAGAGAATAAAAAATTCTTAATAAATGTTTCAGTTAAATAGTCATAATAAAGAATTAATTATAAAGGCAAGAAATTCAAAATCTAAAGAAAATGTAAAATATAATTTACTAAATTTAATAAAAAGTAGGTAAAGACATTGAACAAATCACTGCACTAAGATTCAGATAGCAAAAAAAAATTATAAATATATTTCTATACACTCTTCTAATATGGTTAATGCAAACTGACGTCTGTTTCAAAAACTTGTACAGAATTATATCAATAACTGATAGATACAGTGTTAAGCAAGCAAATGAAAAGAAAATAAAAAACAAAATTTATTAATATAATTCGGATACTCTCCTAAATTGGTAATTGCAAACTAGATAGTTTCAAATACTTATCCAAAATTATACTAACAAATAAAGAGAAATGTAAAATTATGTTAACTAGGAAATTAGGTAGAAAATACTATTAGTAAGTGAATACATATTACCAAAAATTTAGGTAGCTATTACAGACAGTATTGCTTTAAAACATAAGCAGTAGCAGACAATTAAAAGTTAGAAGGTAATGTCTGGTCTGACTAATAAATATTCCGTTGGTGCAAAAGGAAACAATTGGCTACAGGCTGTACTACTTGATCGTGTAGGTATAAGCAGAATAAAATGCTAGTTATAATATTCCGGCCTGACAATATATGAAAAATTTAGTAATATTTTAACTTAATAAAAGGAACGGTATAGACATCAAGACAATTGCAGAATATATAAAAAAATCTTTACTCGATAGGCACAAAAATCAACTTTAAGTAAAAATCCAAAAACTATACACTTTTATCAGTGTATAATAAATATATAGATATATCACTAGCAAAATAATAAATATGTGTAGATAAATATGTGTAGATAAATATGTGTAAATATGTAAAAATATGTATAAATAAACACTGAACCTAGTACAAAATGCAGATACTATATAAAACTTGACGATACGATACACAGATTTATAGAAAAGGTTAAAATAATAAGTAAGAAGGTATTAGTTGAAATATAGAAGACATGCAGTTAGTATCGTTAATCTCTGTGAAACACCTATGTGAATTAGAACGATAAGTCATAAGGAATCTATTTTAAAGTAACGAGCCATTTAACCCAGTAGTTGAGGCGCCAAAATGCTACCCCCCAACTTACCTCCAACAGTAAGGCTAAGAAAAATCTGAAATATCACGAACGTTAAGAATAAGGTTTAGATTGAAAAAAAATTATTTATCTAGGGCAGTGTTTCTCAAACTTTATTGGCGACGGAGCCCTTTTGAAAAGCGAAATATTTGACGGAACCCTAATTTTAGTGTTCAACCCCGGCATTTATTAATACTAGTGTTCGCCCAGTTGTCGAAATTCGACCACAATTATTATTAAATATTTGAGGAAGACATATATATGCATTTGCATGTTACTAACATTTTTTTTAATTCTTATACATTTGTTCATTGCATATCTGAGAGCATAAACTTTTATATGTACTTATACATATAATTCGAGACGAGATTGAAACAAGAATTTTATTTTATTTTCGAGAAAAGATCAAGAAAAAACATTTTACACATTAAAAAATGTGTTAGCCCGTGCCGCATGTGACGCGCACCTTTATCAGCTTGGAATACGACCTTTGTTGTATTGTATCGATGGAAGACTATTATTTTAAGCTTTCTTATTACAAAAATAAGCATCACACTTAATTTCAGCTTTGCGAAAATAATTTTTTTTTCATTTTTTTTTGCCTACTTAGGGGGGTGGAAGACGTACTTTGTCATGGGATTCAGGTGGAAGACAATATTTTCTAAACTTTATTTGTTTAAATTAACGTGTACAACAAGTTTCATGCATGCGAAAATGATTTTTTTTACTTTTTTACTGTAATTACAACCCTCCTGCAACCCCCTGTCGTAAGGGTGCGTCGGAAGACGTTCATATTAGAGTTACATATTACTTGCATAACTCGTATAAAAAAAAATTAAACTTGCTAAAATGACCCGAAAATTTCTGTCGTTACCTCCCGGTCTATAACAAGTCAATTTTAATGTTTTTTATAATTTATAGAAGCCTTTTCAAATACTATCGAAATTTCTTATTTTACCATTTAAATGTACTTTCAGACGCCTGACGGAAGTTTTTGTAGAAAAAATTTTATAAAAAATTTGAAATAATTTGAATAGGCCTATTTGGTCATTTTAATCGACTTAGACAAGAAAAAAGTTAAATAATAATATTTTTTATTGGTCAGGCAACAAAGGGTTAGATGCCAAAATCATTTAAATTAATAAAGGTTTTAATTTAAGACAAAGCAATGTTTTAGTAAAAGTTACATTCTTTATACTAAGAATATTTTTTAAATGCTATAATTATTTATTTTATTATAGAACCAAAATCAACATGTAACAACTTAGTTGAATTCATTATGTAGGTCATTAATAACTAAACATATTCCAAGGCATTTTTTAAAATCAGAGAGACACATTGGGAAATTTTTGTAAATTTTTTGAACAACATCCAGATTTTGCTAATGGAAGATTAAAAGCTGTGTCGGCTAGACAAGTACAGAAGTTTAACATGTTCGCGACATCGTGACCCAGGGGTGCCTGATGCAGCTGACATTTAGGGACCTTGTAAAGACTTTCCACGGAAGTTTCAATTTATTGGACAACCTGGTTTAAAAGTGAATCATTTAGATCTCTCTCAACCTTATGACATATACAGTGAGCATCATAAGT